CAAATGAAAAGTCAAAAGTCCAAAACCAAAGCATAAAATGTCAAAGGAAAGGAAAAGGAAAATTGATTTAAAATATACTTTTTTGAAGAAAAAAGCTGTTTGTGATCTATAAAGATGTTTTTGCTTGAATCACTTGTTGCTTTTATCTCACATTGAGAACTGGCTGTATCATTGCATCTCTACTTAATATTTATTGGGAAACTATTTATGAATGACAAATGTGTAGGAAGGTAAACAGCTAACAGGCTCAGTCTGGTGCAGAAGAACTGTTTAGCTCAGCATACTTTATTTCCCAGATGCAGCTGTGCAGCATTAGCAGAGTCAAAGGATGTAGAGAATTTGAACAAAATCTCGATTTGTTTAGAAATAAGAGCATATCCAACATACGTCAAATCTCACTGTCATTATGTCGTAATTCATTATTGTTCATGATTTATTCAAGGAGTTTAACATGCAGGTTAAGCCAGGGCTTGACTTTTACCCCATGTGTTTAAAATAATGTTGAGTTCTTTTAAAAATACAACCTATTGTTGAACTTTATCAGAAACATTGTTCTGGTTATATTCTTTCTAAAAGAGACCCAATGAAGAGCTGAAGTTAAATCTATCTAGCTGGCAGAGGGCCAAGCATAACTTTGTTGCCACAGCTTGTATGAAATAGTTTCCTGCAAGTGCAAAGAAGACCGCTACATTAATTATACTCAGCCAACTTTCACTTTCTGGCTTAATGCATATTGAATGAAACACTTTTAACATGGATCTCGTCTCTGTTTTGAAATGTATTAAAGGGCGTAGGCATTAATTTGCACATTGACTTAAATATTCACAGTTTTGTCGAATGGAAATGGTTCAGGTTCAATCATGTTCCCTTGATTTAAGATCAAGGGAACATGGGGTTGAATATGAATCATTTTAATTACTTACTAGTTTCCATGAACCAGGTTAAGGTTTAATCTTAACTTTCTCTTAATCCATATATGTCAGTGACTCCATTTTTTTTTTCTTTTATTAAAACACTGTTTTGTGTAAAATCCCCATTCAAATCTCTGTTGAGACACTGTTGAGGTCTGAGGACAGAAGAGGCTCAGTGTTCATGAGTTCAAGTCAATGCTGCAGTGTGACAGAAGTGAATGTTATTACACAAACTGGATAAAATATCCTCTGACATGTGGCACTAATATGAGATGAATTATGTTGTAGATCATCAGGTTATAAAAGATTTATCAAAACGAAAACATACCCTGGAACTCCTTGAATTATCATGACTGTCAAACAAATACTGGTGAGTGGCGTTATTAAAGGAAAAATGAGGGCAGTCATTGAGAAACAGTTCCAAAAGATAAACAATTTCTTTAAAGAAGTTCATGTCACTCTCGTCATTTGGTCTGCTCTCTCTGAAGAGACACAAACTGCCAGCTTAAAAATAAAGCTGGCAGTTTACCCCATGTTTGACTGCAACAGTATGCTGCGATCCAGACCGAGCAGCTGCCTTCTCCACAACTATGTTGCAGCCGTTGTGTGTATTTATGGCTTTGGTTTCCTAAATGGTAAAGGGACTGTATCTTTCTTTTATGTATCTATTTGAACCATTTTAAGCATTTTTTAAACATATGAATGTTTAAAAAATGCTTGTAATCCATGCAGTCTAAGACTGAATCCAAATCTCAGAAGTGGAAAACATCTTTCATTCACACCAGGCTAACGACAGACAGACATTTGTTGATTTAAGTACTGTATGTGTATGGGTCAATAAGCCAACGTGATTATCAGCTAGTGTGGTCATTCCCTCAGGGGGAATGATTCTTGAATGATGAGAAACCAAATGCCAATCATTCTTCCCATTCTCTGCTTCATGCCTTTTGTATGAGGGTGTCTGTCCCAGCTTAGACGATATAAACAGCTCCAATGTGGTATTCAAACAGACATAGAAATCACAGGAAGTTTTACAGGGAAGATAAGTTATGAGGGTAAATTCATCAAGTGAATGTCCGAAAAGTGTGGCCTGCATATGTACTTTGCCCTGCTGACCCAGTACTTTGTAGAACCATTTTTTTTCTTTCTACCAGGTTTCCACAAGTTTGTTTCTCTAGAAATTATAGCAAAACCTAAAAACTGAAATAGAAAACCTACTCTTTACCCCCAATGTTGGATAAATATTTATATTTTAAAACTCCTCAAATTGATGTTTTTATCCCTCGCTCGATTACGGTGCTCAACTTAATATTCAAAATTTAAAAAATAAAATATTAAAGTGCCTTGTGTATTTTACCTGTCTTTGTGCATTTGTATTAACTTTGTACTTACTCATTTCAAAATAACACTTATTTATCCTCCTGACTTTGGCTTTGAAGTTTGCAGAACATGTTTGATCCCTTGGTGTCTCAGCTTCTCATCTCATGACTTTGAGGTTTGAAAGATTACATCAGGTCTGTGTTGCATTCCCTCTGAAACTGAGCTTCTTATGTCTGTCTGATGCAGAGCTTGATTCACTGCCGCCTTTCCTTTCTCAACATGTGTAATTACGTCGCTGTGTGAGGTCTGCGGATGGCACAGCAAGACGTTGTTTAAGGGGTGAAGGTGAATGGATGCCCAGCACTTCAAGATGAAATTTAAAATGAGTAACAAAAGCCAGGTGGAGGGTGGAAAGCGAGACGAGTGCATCAGGTATTCGGCTCACTGTTGTTGATAAAACCTTCAGACTGGGATCAGATTTATGTTGTCGTACAACAACAACTCATGCTGTGTTCCCGCCTTGACCACCGCTATGTGTTTACAACTCTGCAGCACGTCCTGCTCCAAAGAGTAAAAAATAATGCCAAGGTGAGGAAATCTCTGCTGTCGATGCTGCTTTCACTGATTGGTGTGCTGACTTGAAAATATGTCCCAAGAGTTTGATGACAAGGTGGATGAGACAGTGTATTTTCGTGGGAAGTGTAATGTTGAACTTTTGAACCAAGTCAACAACCTGAGTCTATTTTGTTTCCTGTGGGTAATTCATTTATTTACAATAGGCCAGAGTGTTTGTCTCAATAAATCGTTCACATGGAGATTACTTTATTTCCTCTCTTGAACATTAAGTTCATATTAAAATATTCTAAAAACAATCTGAAAACAAGAAAAGTCTAAAGAAAGTGTTACAAACAAATATAACTTTAGTCCTTGTCAATAAAGGAAGATGAGAATGATTTATAACTTCAGCTTAATTTGACACATTTTTGCTTTGTTGTGCATTATAAATGAAATATACACTAATTATTTTTATTAACAAAGGCAAAAATAAGTAAAGATAATAGTTAAGAAATACAGCAAAAGTCAGCTAGACCCATTTAGCCATAGGTTTATAGAAACAAGTCCTGAAACTCTATTTCACACAAATGTTACACTCTCAGGGGAACCAAATCAGTCTGTGTTGTCCTAGTTTTACATGCATGAAGTAACAGACCGACAGGATGGCTATGCCAAATAAACACAATATATTTGGGTCAAGGAAGCTGTTTGTGCAGTCTTCTCACCTCTGACCCCACTCGTGATTATTTGAGAAGTTTCCTGTTGCTGGAACATCCAGTCAGTGCTACTTTGTTTCTTGGAGTAGCTGTTTGCTTGAGTAGTCTGAAAAACTTAAATCACCTGGGGCTTATTTTATTTCCGGTGTTGAACATTGAAATTCAAGTTAAAACAACTGGAAACAAAAATTGTCTAAAGAAAGTGTCACAAAGAAACAGAATACAGGTAAAATTGGAAAGATTATTTGCAACTTTTGTATTCTTTGCAGTTTCAACAAAGCAAAGGAAAACGAGGTTGGTCTGAAACTTAAGTTTCATGTGAGTTGCTTTATTAAAGGCTGCGTGTAAAGTCAGGGTAATATGTACATCTTCTTTAGCTTATTGCCCTGCAACATCCTCATTTTATTACCCGACATAGCTGTCCCAGCTTTATTTTTTTCTGGTTTAATTATTTGCCCTGTTCTCTAAACAATGCCCGAAGGTTTCAAGCCGCTTAATATTTTTTCCACAACTTGGAATTAAACGTAATAATGTAGATTTTGTTATTGTTTTTGTCTGAGCAACATAGTTTAGTGCCACTTTAAAGGTTCAACACGTTTTTTGGAAAATATCTGGGAAATAAAATACAAATTATTTAATACTGCTCTGGTATTCAATTCCCAAGATTATGACTTCACACAGCATTTTTACAGCATCTTTTATTTGAAGCCTAAAAAATGTTACTTCAATCTAATTCCTTGATTAGATTGAAGTCTGATATTTTTAAGCTTTTCCTTTGATCATTTGATTATTGCCTTTAAAATATTATTTGTTGTCAATCTGGAAAAGAGAATTTCCAGTCCTAGTCTAAAATGCATTTTTATGATACTGCCTGCATTTCATCCATTGCCAATTTCTTTGGTCCTGCAAATAAAAATGATCATTTTTCATTTGGGCCTATCTTGGACATTGTTTTTTGGTCTCAATAAGATATTTTTGGTTTGTTGCAACACAGTAATTTACTTGATGGTTCAAGAAACAAATCTCAGTCTTATTCAACCCAGTGCCTCTGGTACTGAAGAGATTACACTACATCAATTTATGAGCATATGTGTTGACATAGAAATTGTCCCTTGGATCAGTTAATATTTTTTCAAATAGCACAATTAAAATACAGCCAATAAAATTGTCGACTTTATTAAAAGTTGAGGCTGCCTCACTTTGAATGCTATGTTTTCAACTTGTTTATTTTTGCACTTCTTGCAGTTTCATTGGGGACACAATGTTTCTTAATCAGACACATATTCGAAATGGCTTACAATGCATCACTATAAATCTTTTTAGCTCAGAATTTTTCAAAAATGTATTTGACTATCTTTAACAACACACTCGAGAGAAAAAGAAAACAGTTGTCTTTGCTATTACAAAGCACTCTATGTAGACTGATGAGAAAGTAAATTAATTATTTTTTTCAGACTGATTGTCAAAAACTTTAACATTATGAAAGCTTTATGTGCAAATATGCGATTTGTTTGGACTCTGAAAGGTATTACAAGTGAGCATTGCAATGATTTTGTAAATGACTTTCGAGGATAACAGTCTGAATGCTGTCAAAGGTAGAAGCTAAAGCTTCATGAGCAGGACTAGCATCTCCTGATTAGATGCAAATGATGAATGGTGCACTGACAAAGTACAAAGGGGCTTAAAAGCACAGCAAGCAAAAAGAAGAAAGGAAGGAAAAATAAATAAATAGAACAGGGAGAGTGTCCTTCAGATAATTCTCGAAAGCCTTAACCTGAATGATAAACAAAACTAAACAAAAAAAAAAAAGAACAAAAAAAATCACACAAGAAAGCAGCTAATTGCACTAGTAATACATTTAATCTGCATGCATATGGACATGGCAGGCATTTCACACTGCATGAGGTTCCTGGCACATCTCTGCTTATCCTCTAACCAGAAACCTCCAGATTCGCAGCCAGTTGCTCCACCAACTGAGCCACTGTCTCTATCCTACCCAGATCCACTCATCAGCCGCTTTATTTGGTACACCTATTGAATTGCTGGTTAACACACATCGTGAAACAGCCAACTCTATGGCAGAAACTCCTTACAAATGTGCTTTGACTCAGTTTGTACCAGTTTCCATGGGACTATTGCTGGAGCTTGTTACAGTGGAAATACGAAAAATGCTGAGAACAATCACAAGCATGAGGTAAGCACTCAAACCTCTTTGCATATCTTACTAATTATGTTGGTTGTAAAGTGGGCAACCCACTCTAACGTGCACCAAGGTAATAGGATTCAGTCAAGCATTATTATGTTGCACTCATGTTTAAAACAGAACAAAATCAATAAAAGTAAAAAAAAAAAAAAAGTTTAATGAAAGATTTAAATCAACAATGCCGAACAATTACATATTTATAAACCTTTTCTGTTTCTCTTTTTAATTTTCTCTGTGTCAAGAAAATTAACTACTACAACTTTTCATCATTTTGTCCTTCTACTTGTATTGGTGTGATAAATTAATCTGAGGTGCATCCAGACTGTGCATTAGCACTGCTTGGAGAACGTGTAATGAATGCCAGCAGTCAGTATGTCTTTGCAGATATCTTCCAGTGTATATTTTTTTTAAACTTGTACCTGATATTAATGCACTTATTCATGCACAATCATATCCCACCCAGGACTAGCAAAGAATATATACTGGACACTTTATTTATAGGTAATAAAGTGTCCAGTGTTCTTGTCATGTCATTACTGACCCTCAAATTTACATCATTCAGTGAACAAAGACAAAAGACTTTGAACCCAAAGGAAAAAAAGACCTTTCTTGTGGAAAAGAGTCAATTTCAGGCTTTTTAATTTCAACTTATGAGCTCATAATACTGACACAGAGGTCAACTAATCCTTTTCCCTTGCAATGTCTTTCTTTAATCCCACCATGCTTTGTTCCTGTGTGTCTGAACAAATGAAGAAAAATTAACATAGTTAATTGGCTGGTTAATTTCACTCACCTGCATTTTGCAAACATTCTAGCCATTAATACCATATGTATCATTTTATTTTATTGCCTAGAATTCAATGTAAAGGACCATATTAAAATCCTTTCATGGAGCCAGACATAAAAAAAAAAATCCCTTCACACAACATTACAGTCAGATCATCTAGCAGGAGCCACTAATAAGAAAAGGGGAAACCCCATGTGTCCAGTGTAAAATATTAATAGCAGTGATACTAACATACTAACAGTTGTGCAAACAGTGATTTTGTCACAAAACAATTATTTCTTGGCATAACATTTTTTTTTCTTTTTTTGCATAGTTTTATTTTGTTACAAATCTGAAAGGTTTTTGTTGACACAAGGCAAAGGATGACATCTTCGCTGTTTAAAAATGACCCTCAATTGGTCTGTGTTGTTCGTATTAACTGGTGTGTTTCAGTTTTCAATAGTTCTGGTTGAAGTTGATTAAGCTTTGGCTTGAATTTATTGTTCAGAGAGACTAAGTATCTTAGGATTTCCTACATAATGGCTCTACTGAATCTCTATAAACATCTTAATTAGGACACCAAAAACATCTTAAGTGATGTAGAAATCTCGTCTGACAGTGTGGAGAAAGAGCTCTGCCAAAAGATCAGAAAGCAGTTGAGCAGGGAATTCAATCCCAGCTTGCACTGGGCTGCAGATCCACACCCCAGGTGGATTTTGCCCTCTATATCTATGGTTCCCTTGATCTTTTCACAGGACTTAAAAACAAAGTCCAGCTTGTCTTCACTTTTAAGACATGCTGGACTCTTCATAACCTTAAACTTAGTCCTGCCAAAGCTTTCCCATGTCAACAATTCAATGATAAAATCATCTGCACACTATATTTATGTAAAAACGCAAATTGTGAAATCCTTCCCTTTTTTTCTTTTTGAATAATACAATATGTCTCATTGCTGTGAAAGTATAACATGATGTTGAACGGCTTGTTGTTTCATGCTGCGCCATTTCTGTTTTTTATATTTATATGTAAAATGGTTCTTATTATTTACATTACAGCATCACTTACATCTGAAAATGACTACATTAGAAATGGTGAAAGAGGTCAATTTCCAGCTCTACATCAACACCTTCATTCACCTTCAGCAGTGATCTTCATTAAACCATTTAACTAACACATATGTTCTGATTACTCTTCTCTGTAATATGAATGTGAATAAGATTGCTTATTTAATTCTTACCAGAGCTAATTGTTTTGTGCAAGTCAAAAATGTATGTGCTAAATGAATTGGGGGGGGGAAAGCGATGCTGCAGCAACTCTGGTGCTCCTTGGTTTTTTGTTGTTAGAATCTTGAACTTTCCCAGATACATGCAGGTCAAAAATGTTAATATAAGGATTTGAATTTAAGTACAAATAATAACAAGAAAACAAAGTGTGGCTTGCATGTTCTGAAATGAGTTTCAAGAGAAAAATTAGAGAGTGAAATCAAACCTTATTTTAACAGTGACATAGAAAATGTGCAAAATACTTGTTTTATGGAGGAAAAATGAAATAATTAATGATAATTTTTTTTGTACGCTTTACTGCTATAAAACACAAGAGAGCTGTTATGTGTGACCTGAATTAAAAGCAACTCAAAGAGCTTGACAGAACAAATAGAATAATTTGGAAAACGAAGATGATAAAAACAGTTAAGTCTGAGGCGTGAGAAAAATGCTCATTTACTTTTTGTTTTTACATGTTCACTGAATGACGGAAAAGGAAAATATTTAGATGTTAACTATGTTCCCAAAGATTAATAAAAGAAATAGAAAAAGCAGATCCAATCTTTATTGTACTTTGAAAAGTTCTCCATGAAACAAATTACATTATAAAAACGACATGCAAACATGGAAAGATTTGTTGTTTAGCCTAAATCATCTCATGAAAGACAGCAGAGAAATCATTTTCTAGTGATCGAGACTGAAACTGGTTCATGTCAGTGATTTCTGGTCTGCAGAGCCAGCTGCTACTCATCATGTCAAGTATAGGTTCAACGATACGACCAAATTAATTTTCCCAGTAGAACATATAAAAGCTTTACTTACTGACTGGTTTAGAGAAACAATTGGCTCATTATGGTCAGTCTTACACAATACTGTCTTGCTAGACAACCTTTATGTGATCAGTGTGTTTTGTTTTCTGTAGCAGTGGTCAGTTCAGCAGTTCACAGTGAGAAGAGGAACAACACCACCATTGTTTGCTTTGTGTTTTTTTTCCCTTTTGATGACATCCTCGTGGGGAGCGGCTGGCCAAATGGTTAATTTGTTGTGTGCTCTGTGAGATTAGAACAAAGCCCTGATCAGAATTGTTCACTTTTTGCCATTTAACCAGATGACAGGACCCCCGGCCCAGCCTGCAGTAGTATTCTCTTTCTGGATCCACTCACTGAGTTAACTTGTTTGTGTTGATTTTAGGACTTGTGTTCATTCATTGTTATTCTGCAAATGCCGCCCTCCATTTTAGAGCTGTTTCATAAAAAGAATCTGAAGTTTTAGTTTTATTTTGAATAAATTGTCCATCTCATAATTCAAAGTGACAAAAGGACTATTTATGTTTTCAGGAGAACAGTAAAAGTGTAGTGACGATTAAGGCTTTTACCACAAGCTGTGGACCAGGTTTAACATGCTGAATAACTTTATTTATATGATTATTTACGTTGTATTTTAATTCACATGTTTAAAGATGCAGAATGTGCTCTCTTATGTTAAGTTCTTGGAATTAATTCCTTCAGATCAGTGATCATTTAGAGCTGTCTATATTTAAAGTGTGGAGGTGAGACGCTTTTCTTCAGATAATTTTGTTCAGGAGCAAGGTGACACAAAATCCAGGGTTAGATCTCATCTTCTTGTGTTCCTATTTGGCATTTTTGACAATATCAAATTGATAATAGTGATGTCAAATCAAATCAAAGCAAATCAAACTCTAATGTCAATTTGTGTATTAGAGTTATATGGGAGGAAACTGAAAGGGAGTGTTACATGGATTAAAAAAAAACAAAAACAAGTATTTTTAAAAAAAAGCCAAACCAAAGACAAAGAAAAAGAGACAAAGAAAAAATCTGCACATATGAATCAGTTTGTATATGTAGCCTTCTTCCTGTTCCAAACTACTTTTTGATCTGCCTTCAGACAAATCCGAGTGACAGCTTCTTCTAATACTGCAGACATCTCAGAACAGATTATTGACTGGACCACAGTCATTTGACTGGAAATCCTTGACTGTAGTGCATTTGCTAGAATTGCTCGAAATCTTGGTTTCTTATGTGGATTCCAACCATAGTTTTCTGAAGCAGCATTTTCTTAAGTGTTTTCTTAAGTGGTTTTATGATGGGGCAGAAAAACATGTCTCTGCACAGGCTTTGTGGATTGATAGATGCAGCTGTGTATTTCTGCATCTTTCTCTTTTGCAGATGTACTTTAACTGATTGTCATGGATCAAATTAAATAGGATTCAGGTTATGTCCTGAAGGTTTTAAGAAGTTTCCATAATGACATTTTTAACCAAAACTAATTATTTGAGATTAAGTAATTCAATAATGCTTTTTTTTCAGAGTTGGAACTAATGTTTTAACCAGAATCATCTTATTAGATTTCTAAATTGTTTTATCCAAATAAATGCTGTTACGTGAAATAGAGTCTAACCACAACACTGTTAATTTGATCAGGGGTTTATTATTGCATTATTTTTTCTAAAATATGAATGAAAGGATGTACAGGCAGACGTGAGGATTCTATAATCTGGCCTATGCTGCATTAATAGTGTGTTAAATGCATTTCCACAGCTGAATAGGCACAGCATATTTAATGTCATGCTAAAGTGCTGGCTTTTACATTCACTAGATGACCTTAAACAAGTCTAATGGCTTTCAGAGTTGAAAAATACCACCTTTGTTCAAGCTGTCAGACATTCTCTGTCTCTCTGCAGCAGTCTTGTGACTTTTTAGAGTGATATAATACAAAATAGTTATTTGGTTGTAACACTTTGCTGAAATGGTCTATTCTGATTTTGTTTTCAACTTAATGATAAAGGCAAAATTGTTTTATCTGTAAACCTATGAAAACAGTTGGCAGAAAAGAAAACTCACCGCAAAGACTTTGAGGCAACAATGACAGAATCTTCAGTGTTCATTATGCCAGAATTTACAATCACTCATTTGTTTAATTAAAGTCATTTGTTTAAACATGCA